ATGAAATTATCAAAATATTAAGTAAACAATACTACGAGCTAAGGAAAGTTATTAAAGTTATACAAGTCAAATAAGAATAAACTAACCACAATGTTTCAAATAGAGATTTTTATACTGCTAGAATACACAGGATTTAAGATATTGCAAGGAATAACCTACTGCTTAATATAAACAAGGATGAGAAATAAAGAAGTTGTGCCTCTCCAGTAACTTTAATGCTTCACTATATACCAACTGGTCTTCTATGTAAATGCTTCTTAGCTTTTAAAATTTTTCAACTAGTTTTTATATTAAAAGTAATACATGCACACAGTAAAAAGTCAAACAATAAAGAAGGGTATACAAGGAAAAGTGAAAGTATCCTTTACTCCACCCTACTCCTACTAGGTTAACCACTAACAAATCGAACTGTATTTTAAATGTATGAAGGGGGCTTCAATATTCACTGTATCTGCTTCACAGTAAAAAACAATTTCATCATATAAATAAGCCTCCTCCCCAATTATCTGATTATATTTTTATATTCAATAAGAGATTTCTTAAGTGATGCATATCCATACTGCTCCATTCTAAGGGCTGCTGAGATATTCTTGCATACTACAAGACAAACAACAATTTTGTCATCAAGGTTTCTGGCAGTCATAGTAGGAAAGCTTTTGGAACCCCTAGTTCATGAGATCATTTCAATATATACCCCTGGGCCACATACTGTCTCCTGTGCCTCCAGATAAGTAAAGTAGTTCTTTTTTTTTTTTTTTTGCAAGGAAGATCAGCCCTGAGCTAACATCTATGCTAATCCTCCTCTTTTTGCTGAGGAAGACCGGCTCTGAGCTAACATCTATTGCTATTCCTCCTCCTTTTTTTTTCCCCCCAAAGTCCCAGTTGGATAGTTGTATGTCATAGTTGCACATTCTTCTAGTTGCTGTATGTGGGACGCAGCCTCAGCACGGCCAGAGAAGCGGTGCATCGGTGCGCGCCCGGGATCCGGGCCGGGCCGCCAGTAGCGGAGTGGGTGCACTTAACCGCTAAGCCACGGGGCCGGCCCCAGTAAAGTAGTTCTAAATTTAATCAATGGATAATTTTTAACCAAATTAAATTCTTTTGAATCCCCCAAATGTGCCTGCCTATTTGTCATATAGATTAGAATTCATTAAGATTAATCAACAGTTGGTTTATGGGTCAATATTTACTCTATAATGACATTATTCTATATAATCTACATCAATATAAAAATGAGCAATCTGTATAAGCACTTTCAAAAGCGTGCTATCTAGGTTCTGAGTTTGTTTTTTAAGGTTCCCCTTATATGATTTATGCCCACGAAGGCAAAATCTAAGAAAAGTTGGTCCCAGAGACCTAGAATTTATAAAATTTAAAGTATGTTTTTGATACACTTGATTTGAAATAAAAGCAGAAATCTTAAAATCTTAAGTTTCCTAATTACTATATAACTATATTCTCACAAAGACCCTTTGTGCCTATATTACAATAAAATATTTGTTGTTGCTTTTCTGCCTCAGGAAAAAGAAGAGTAACTCTGTAAAGAAAAATAATTACTTCCGGAAACCACATAATAAGATAAACTTGACTAGATTTTAAGTTTTCATATGTTAACAAAATAGAAATTGCCTATATATGCATAAACATAACTACAAAGTCACTATATAACAGAAACACATACACCAAAGACAAAACTATTTTCAAACATCCATTTTGAAACCTAAGGTAACTTGGAAATCTTTTACAAATCAATGTATTTGCTGTAACGTAGGCTCAAACATTTCATTTCCCAGGCCACTGCCAATGATTTCAATTTAAAACTAAGGAAACAAGTCTAACTACTTTTTCACGAATAACTAACCTCAACTTAATTATATGTTGATTCAGCTCAGCTCCCACATTTACAACAAGTTTTAAGTAGGAAGGTAGCATACCATAATACTAGTCAAATACCAGCAAAGTAATGGGAATGACAATAGAATCTATCTCATGAGTTACCATAAAGAGATGACTATTAATCCACCGTTTCTCACCCAATCAAGGATCTCATTTATGCGAACTTCTCCTCTTATCCCTGCATCAATTTCTCTTTCTCTACTGGATCATTTCATAACATTATAAACACTTTAATATCTCCCACCTTAAACAAAAATTTTTCCCTGACACCATATTCCCATTGCTCTATTTCCTTGACATTTTATAGCAAATTCCTCAAACAACTATCTGTACTCACTGTCTTCATTTCCTCTCCAATTCCTTCTTGAACCTCCTCCAAACGTGCTTTCATCTCCACCACTCCACAGAAAGTGCTCTTATCAAGGTAACCAGCAGTCTTCAGACCGCAAACCCCAATTATCAATTCTTAGCCCCCATCTCATTTGACCTATTGGCAGAATTTGACACAGCTGATCATTTTCTCCTCCCTGACACATTTTTCATCCTTTTGCCTGCCAAAGACATCACTCACTCTTGGTTTTCCTCCTTCCTCACTGGTCCTCCTTCAGTATATCCTTTGCAAATGCTCATCTTCATCCTGACCTCTATATAAAGTTGGCTTGCCTAAGGGCTTACTCCTTGAACCTCTTCTCTATCTTATTTCACTCCCAAAGGCAACCACAGCCTATTTAGATTTTAAGTGTGATAAACACACCAACACAGCTGGCCCTTCTTCCCTGTATTCTAGATTCAATAATCTAGGTGCCCATTTGAAATCTCCACTTAGACACCTAATAGGCATCTCAACATTAACACAGTCAAAATCAAATCCTAGATTCTACACAAGCACTTCAAAATCTACTCCCCATCTCCACCCCAACTGCCCCTTATCAGTATAAAAGCAATGCCATCCTTCCAGTTTCACAGGCCAGAACTTAAGAGTCATCCTTGACTCTTCTATTTTATTGGTCCTACCCTCAAAATATATCCGGAACACACTGCTTCTCATTACCTCCACCACTAGCCCCCACTCAAAGCCACTATGTCATCTCTTTTCTGTACTGTTGAAATAAGCCTCCTAAACTGGACTCCCTGTTCCCACAACATAGAACATCCATATAGCAGCAAGAGTAATCTTTTTCAAACCTAAGTCAGTTCATGTCACTTTTCTGCTCAAAATTTCTCATGATGTACCATGTCACTTGGAATAAAAACCAAAGCTTTTAAGACAGCCTACAGAGCTGTGCTCCATGTCTAGCCCCTGCTGCCTCTCTCATCCTCTACTCTTTCCCTCGCACATGCCACTCCAGCCACACTGGCCTCCCTGCTTTTCCTCAAACACAGTAAGCATATCCCACCCCAGAGCCTTTGTGCTTGCTGTTCCTCAACCTGAAACTCTCCTTCCCTGGGTATCTGCATAACTTCTCTCCCATATCTTTTAGGTTCAAATGTTACCTTATCATAGAGACATTCTCTTACTATCCTATATAAACTAGCAACTCCCTACTCATACTGTCACTCTCAATCTTATGATTTGCTTTACTTTTCTTCTTAGCACCCATCAGCACCTGACACAGAATATAATCATTTCATTGCTTACTGTCTGTCTTCCCCAAGTACTAAAATGCTCAAGCACCATGAGAGTAGCAATTTTGATTTATTCAAAAAGCAGCACAAAGAAGAGTACCTGGCATTTAGTCTGGTACATATTTGCTGAATGACTAAAAAAAATAATAGCAAGTCATTATGCTAAAAGTTTTATAAAGATTAGCTCATTTAATCATCAAAAAACTACATGGAAGTACTATTATTATTTCAATTTTACCAATGAGACAAAGGCACAAGACATCAAATAACTTGTATGTCACACAACTTCTAAGGGGTACAGTCAGCCTCCTGTATCTATTAAATGAGATCAAGTTAGATCATACAAATGGAGTATTTAACAAATTTTTGGCACATAAAATACTTAACATTTATGGAATACTTATTGTGTGCCAACATTAATGTAGGCTCTTTATGTATATTCACTCATTTAATTCTCATATTGTTTAATAAGTGGTTGTAATTATTATTTTCACTATTTACTATTTACCAAGGTACCAAGCTTAACTCAATAAAAGTCACATAAAAGACACTGTTGTGAGAGAAATGGCACAAACACCAACCTTTACTCTTCTCAGAAAAATGTTAACAGGTGCTTAAAACAACATATTCTGAAGGTTAGCACCAGAAACCAAATCAAAGTTAACTGAATTCATAGCATACACAGACACATCATTAACTGTGTATTTGCTAGCTTGCAGTTCTAAAAAGCCCCCTAACATTCAAAGACAAAGAGTCACAGATTTTCTTCATTAAAAAAAAATCTGGGGCCGGCCCAGTGGCGTAGCAGTTAAGTGTGTGCACTCCGCTTCCGCGGCCCAGGGTGGCAGGTTTGGATCCCTGGCGCGCAAAAATGCACCGCTTGTCAAGCCATGCTGTGGTGGCGTCCCATATAAAGTAAAGGAAGACAGGCACAGATGTTAGCCCAGGGCCAATCTTCCTCAGCAAAAAAGAGGAGGATTGGCATCAGATGTTAGCTCAGGGCTAATCTTCCTCACCAAAACAAAACAAAACAAAAAAAAAATCTACGCCTCCCCCAAAAAACTGGTTGCTACTCCATATGCCATCATATTATACTTAATGAATCTTTTTCATTATAAATTAAAAATTATCTGGATTAAAATAGATCTTTTTAATGTTTAAAATAGAACTTATTCATTTATACCAATTACTACTGAAATCACCAAGTTTACCTAATGTAAACAACCCTCTGCTTTAAAAGTCAGTTTTATTACCAAAAATAAATTTTGAAATTACATATTGCACCTGAGAAAATAAAGTAGTCAATTCCTTTATCCTTGAGCTAATGTGAAAGCAACAGGATTCATGAAAATTACTGAATATAATTTATTCAGCACAACATAGCATCAGTTTTTAATTTTTAGTTCACCTTGTACATACTCATTCTTCGTTAATAGTCAATATATGAAAGATTCTAGGTAAAGATCCTTAAAACTCACGGTGCAATAATGGCTCTAGCCGGTCTTTTTGTAGACTGTACTTGTGAAAGCCAACCTTCTAGCTGTGCATTCAGCTGCGGTCCTATAAAAACAGAAAGAGGAAAATTGGAGTCAGCAAAGCAATGTACTATAGATAACCATACATGACACAAAGCCCTCACTGAACCTAGCTGGGACTAAAATAGTTTAATGGGCAGTGGGATCATCAGTTTAGATGTTAATGTTTGAAACTTAACCAACTACAAAGTCTCTAGCAAGCCAGATGATAAGGCCAAGTACTGATTAAACAAAATTTGCATCCATTTACTTATTTATTCACAACCTTCTTCATTCTAGAACAACAACAACAATACAATCCAAAATTTGAGGCAGTGTTAAACAAAATAAAACAAGAAACAGAAAACTGTTAGTACATGAAAAGAAAATGAGTGAATATTTTTGTAATCAGAAATGAGTACAGGGCCGGCCCGGTGGCTTAGCGGTTAAGTGCGTACACTCCACTGCTGGCGGCCCGGGTTCGGATCCCAGGCACGCACCAACGCACCGCTTCTCCGGCCATGCTGAGGCCGTGTCCCACATACAGCAACTAGAAGGATGTGCAGCTATGACATACGACTATCTACTGGGGATTTGGGGGAAAAAATAAATAAATAAAATTATAAAAAAAAAAAAAGAAATGAGTGCCAAGGGGGCCGGCCCTGTGGCATAGCAGTTAAGTGCGCACGCTCCGCTGCTGGCGGCCCGGGGTTCGGATCCCGGGAGCGCACCGATGCACTGCCTGTCAGGCCATGCTGTGGCGGCGTCCCATATAAAGTAGAGGAAGATGGGCACGGATGTTAGCGCAGGGCCAGTCTTCCTCAGCAAAAAGAGGAGGGTTGGCATAGATGTTAGTTCAGAGCTGACCTTCCTCACAAAAAAAAAAGAAAGAAAGAAATGAGTACCAAAACCTGCCTTAATCACTAAAATCACATCCACGGAGTGATCACTCCCACACCCAATGACCTTTCCCTTCCATCCACTCCAGCCCCCTACTCCCATGATCATATCAATAACCAGTAACTACACCACCTCAAAAATCTCAATTTCAAGCATCCCACTCTCTTTACTTCCCATCTTTCCAGTTCACTCCTAGAAATCTGTTGACTTCAACAGATTTGGAGTCACTTTTCCCACGTCCTTCATCCTCTCTTTTCTTAACTTCTTACCCAGCATGAGACCTGACGATCCATCACTATAATCATCCCCTTGCCTACGGCCTCACTCCATTGCTCCTTTCTTCTTTCATCATAGTGAAACGATAGTTGAAACCAACTTTTCACTTAACACAGTACCTCCACCTGAACAGCTGAATGAGACTGAAAAGAAATACAACCATTTGAACTTTGAAATTATACCCATAAATTTCAGCAGACCGTTAGCAAAGCTCAGAAATCATACCACGTTAACCTAGTGAATCTGCTCTCCCATCTTTAAGATAGAGAATTATCTCATATAGCTTCTCCTTTACCTTAAACCTCATCCCCTTCTCACTCCCAGCAGATGATGCTGCTTTTCATTTCATCAATCAGAAGTAGGGTGGCCAACCATCCTGGTTTGCCCAGGACTTTCCCAGTTTTAGCACCGAAAGTCCTGCATCCTGGGAAACCTCTCAGTCCCAAGCAAACCTGGACGTTACTCACCCTAAATTCAGAAGAGAACTACTTCCTCTTCCTACCACTTATTCAGCTTTCCCTCCTGTTTCAACAAACTGTCCCTGTTCCTATCAAAAGCCAAACAAATTACTTGTGCACTGGAACCAAACTGTCGGCCAAATGTGTTTTTCTTACTCCAGGACTCGGCTCTTACAACTGTCTGAGTCTCCTGCATCCACTTGTCCCTTTTCACTAAATCATTACTATTAGCATGCAAATACATGATACTAGCAGATTTGATTTTCCCCCAACTACCACCCCATTTCTCTGGCTCCTTTTTTCTCCGGCTCTCTCTTCCTAAAATTTTAACCATAAACTCTTAAACTTTTAATCATAAATTTTTAATCGTAAAAAACTTTTAAACATTACAAAAGAATCTAGATGATAATATAACAAACACCCATGGAACCACTTCCCAAATAAACTGAATTTTAACAGTCTATCTTATTTACTTAAGATCTTCCTTTATTAAGAAACAAAATAATAAAGACAGTTGAATCCCTTGCTGATCACATTATTACACCTCCCTCCTTAGAGGTAACCACTTTCTGATTTTGGTGTTTATTGTTGCATTATACTTTTACTAATATATGTCTCCATAATATGTGTATTATTTTGTTCTACATGTTTTTAAATGTTATATAAGTATACTGTATATGTCCTTCTACAACTTGTTTTAGTCCTTCAACATTATTTTTAAAAATTATTCATGTTTATATATGTAGCTTTAATTCATTCATTTTCAGTGCTGCATAGTATTGTAACGTATGGATATACCCAAATTTATCTATTCATTCTCCTGTTCACAGACATTTTGGTTGTTTCTATTGCTTCATTGTTAATATACAATGCTACAAATCTCTTGTGAGTGTGTGTTAAGAGTTTCTCTGGGATTTATTTGGGAGTAAAAGTACAGGATCATAGGGTATGCCCATCTTCAACTCTGCTGGAACATTGCTAAATTGCCCACCAAAGCAGCCGGATCAAGTTACCCACCGGTATAAGGGCAAATAAAAATAAATGGTTTAACTCTCCCTGTTAATAATAAGAGAAGAGACACTCCAAACATACTTTTCTTAGAGCATTTTCCTTAGAAAACTTGTAATTGTAAATTCTTTCTCTGCCCCTTTGAAATGTATTTAAATCTTTCTAAAAGCTAAATAAGCCTCTAACCAGCAACCCAGGACTATCTTTCTCAATGACCTAATAGTCATCTCTTTGAAATGTGATCATCAAGGGAGAAAGCACCCCTTTCTGCCAGTTTCTATAGCAGGATAGGAGACTAATTTTGGTGGGCCACCTAGCTCCAAGTTGCAAAATTACCTCCTGTCATAAAGATATGAGTTTATTTTTCCTTTGGATAAAGCCAATTAGCTAATACATATGGTCACCCCAATTACCATGTGAATTTAAGATGAACTATGTGTGACAAATGTTGCTATCAAGTCCTCTTACTTGAGCACGACTTATAATTTATCTTGAGAACGTGTAATAGGTTGTATCTGCTTAGCTATATAAAAGGGTGAACTCTCTTTAGGTCTTTTCCGTCTCTTAGCAGATTGCCTATGATGTGCATCACATTCTAGCTTAATGCTTATTCTTCTATCTTTGAAGAGAGGGTTTCTGAGATGGCAGGAGGTTTTGGTTTAAATTACATTTCTCCGACATCAGCAATGGTTAAAAATTCCCATTTCCGATCCTTGAGGAGTAACGTCAGCATCATGGCGGAGTGAGCTTTCCCTCTTACACTCTCCCCCACTAAGATACAACAAAAAGGACATTCAAATACCAACCAAGGACATTCACACAACACAAAAGAAGTCTGAGAGACCCATGTAGCCTTACATGTGAAAGTGGAGGTGCTGGTACCCCCAGAGGAAGTGGAAGAAGGTAAGGAGAACCCCTCTCCTTCCCCAGTGACAGTGACCCTGGGACCAGGACCACTCGGCTCTCTGAGAGAGAGGGGAGAGGGGTCGCCCTCCATGGGAAAACCATCGCTCTCCAAGTTCTCTCACAGCCTGTGGGAAACTCCCATATGGAGAGGACTGAACTGTTGCAGGGGTGTCTTCGTCAAGCTAGCACCCCAGGAAAGCAGATGGCAAGGGCAGAACAAGAAGCCCCGGGATCAGGCAGGCAAAAGAAAGAGCCCCTCCCCTCCAGAACTGCACAGCTCTCAGAAAGAAAGGGAAGGGACAGCTCCCCATGGAGAACACCATCACTCTCCAAGTTCTCTTGCAGCCTCTAGGAAATTCCCATATGGAGGGGACTGAACTGTTGCAGGGGTATCGTCATCAAGCTAGCACCCCAGGAGAGCAGATAGCAAGGGAAGAAGGAGAAGCACCCGGGATCGGGCAGGCGAAAGAAAAAGCCCCTCCACAGGCCCGGAGAACCAGCACAGCTGGTCAGCAAGAGCGCCTATGGACTGTGGAGAGCTCAGAATACACAGTTCTTGACCCCTACACCGTGGCGGCAGGTGGAAGCTGCAACAAGATATCTTCAAAATGAGGAAAAATAAGCCAACGCCCTCAAGCACTATGCAAAAATATATTACATCTCCAGACCAGAAGGAAAATGACAAGCACCCAGAAGTCAATCCTAAAGGCACAGAAATTTATAACCTAAACGATAGAGAATTCAAAACAGCTATCATAAAAAAGCTCAACAAATTACAAGAAAACAAAGACAATTCAATGAAATCAGGAACTTTTTCACAAAAGAAACTGAAACTACGAAGAAAAACCAATCAGAAATGTTGGAGATGAAAACCACAATAGAGGAGATAAAAATCTGGAAACTTTAAAGAACAGAATTGACAATATGGAGGAAAGAATTAGCAATTTAGAGGATAGGAATGCAGAAATGCTCCAGATGGAGGAGGAGAGAGAACTAAGACTAAAAAGAAATGAAGAAATTCTCCAAGAAATCTCCAACTCAACTAGGAAATGCAACATAAGGATTATAGGTATTCCAGAGGGAGAAGAAAGGGAAAAAGGAGCAGAGAGCTTGTTCAAAGAAATAATAGCTGAGAACTTCCCAAACCTGGGGAAGGAGCTGGAAATACAAGTGAATGAAGTCAACAGATCTCCTAAAAATATCAACATGAAAAGACCCTCTCCAAGGCATACAGTAGAGTAAAGCCGGCAAAAGTCAACGACAAAGAAAAAATATTAAGGGCAGCCAGACAAAAAAAAATAACGTACAGGAGAGAGAAGTCAAGATGGCGGCATAGGGCCGGCCCTGTGGCTTAGCGGTTAAGTGAGTGCGCTTGGCTGCTGGCGGCCTGGGTTCGGATCCTGGGCGTGCACCGACGCACTGCTTCTCCGGCCATGCTGAGGCCGAGTCCCACATACAGCAACTAGAAGGACGTGCAGCTATGACATACAACTATCTA